TGAAGCAAAAGTTAAGGAGTACACAACACACAAAACTTTCTTCCCTTTCCACACCACTTTATTAGCAGATCCCTTAAAAACTGGGCGAAAGGGGAGGAGGAAAAGAAACCCCACCATGATCTCAACCTCTAACTGGGAGAGATTTTTAATTTTAGGTCTTTGTTCTTCTCAGCACTCATGATCAACAGGAGATTCTCAAGTTTTGCTGGGTGTGCTTTGCCCTAGCACCTTGCTTGTTAGAATTGTCTTATTTCTTGTACCCACAAAGTATGCAGCCAAATGCACCTTTTTGGTACTAGAGGCAGAACTGGTCTAGAAAACCACATATATTTTTGGCATGACTGCAGCATGCTTAAGTGGATGGGCGTGTGGAAGACTGCGCTTTTAACAAAGGAAGAAAATGTTCCACCTACCGGTTTTGTTATTTCTCAGGACTATACAAACTGTAGATTTTGCTGCCATTGTAAATGACACATATCTGGATTACCACAACTAGCAGTTACTGGTAAACTGTTACATTTGCAAACAGAGATATGGGAACAGCAGTTTTCCCTATATATTATTTTCTTCACTCTCCCAATAAAACAAAACTTCTTTATGATCCCTCCTTCCTTGTGGCTTGTGCAAAGGAGAATTGAGTGACCAGAAGGCCCATTGAAAACAACTATAAACTGGAGTTTGGCTCCCCATTGAGCTGTTACTCTCTACAAAAAGAAACAGGATACTAGCCTTAGTATTGAAGCCACAATACTTTGGTTTTTATGTTTAATTTTGGAGTGGGTCATGTTGTCATGCATGCAGAAACAGATCAACGTGGCTGTGTTGAGAAACTCCAGCACTTTACGGGGAGAGAACCTAGCATCTTCCACTGGCCCGACCAAGCCTATTGGTTCTGCTCTTCTCAGAATGCCACCTGCAATGTTTTCACCCTTGTTTTATCAGAGGGGCAGGAAGAACAGCAGGAGGCTCTCCATGGTTTAGCTGACACCAGCACCACCTTCTCCTGCCTGCAGTTACCGCAGACTGATAGCCATGCTGAAAAGATAAAAAGGGGACCTAGAAATCCAAGCAGTACATCTGCTGAGACAGTCTAATGGGATGGCGACTTAGCATGCAACTCCCACTATTTATGGAAAGTCCAAAAACTCCTCACCAAAGCAGATGCCATTTAATGTGTATCAAACAAAAATAAACCAAAGGAAGCTGTAGTGTCACTACACAATACAAGATTGTAGAAGAATGTGACACCTTTATTGGACCACTAAAAATCAAACAATTCTTGCAAGCTTTTCATGGAATAAAAATTCCTACTTTTAATGGGCATGTATTCATACTGCTTGTGGAGTTCAAAGGCTTGTGTACCTGATTGCCATGAAAAATGGCAGCATCTTCTACAGCAACCATTGCTGTAAAAATTCCAAAAGAGCAATATATATTTTCAGGTCAGTTATTTCCTCCAGTAACATGAGGGGAACCATAAGGCTCCCCTTGTATAGAACAACAGTTCTCAACCTTTCCTGTCTTTGCTTCCTATGTGCTATCAAGGGACTTCCAACTTCTTCCTTTGCTCATGACAGAGGCAGGGTGTGATCATAGCTATCCTAACTTTGGCTGCAGCTGTTCTAAACAATGATAGGGTCTGGCATCTAAATCAGACTCTCAGATTTTTCAGCTAGGATGTTCCCTTCATTTCTGCACTGCTTTCCCCATTCATTTTGAATGATCAGTTGAAATTTGTACTGTTTGTTTTTCATTATGAGGCCAAAGTATTCCAGCTTTCTGCATTTTATGTGCTTTATGATATATATATTTTTTGGTCCTTATTTATTTTCCTTTTTGTTGTTTAGTCGTTAAGTTGTGTCCGACTCTTCATGACCCCATGGACCAGAGCAGGCCAGGCCATCCTGTCTTTCACTGCTTCCCGGAGTTTGGTCAAATTCACGTTGGTAGCTTCGATGACACAGTCCATCCATCTCGTCCTCTGTTGTCCCCTTCTCCTCTTGCCTTCACACTTTCCCAACATCAGGGTCTTTTCCAGGAAGTCTTCTATTCTCATGAGATGGCCAAAGTATCTGAATCTGTCCTTCCAGTGAGCAGTCAGGGTTGATTTCCTTGAGAATGGATAGGTTTGTTCTCTTTACAGTCCAGAGACTCTCAAGAGTCTCCTCCAGCACCACAATTCAAAAGCATCAATTCTTTGGCGGTCAGCCTTCTTTATGGTCCAGCTCTCACTTCCATACATTGCTCCTGGAAAAAAACACAGCTTTGACTATGCGGACCTTTGTCGGCAAGGTCATGTCTCTGCTTTTTATGATGCTGTCTAGTCTTGTCATTGCTTTCCTCCCAAGAAGCAAGTGTCTTTTAATTTCGTGGCCGCTGTCACCATCTGCAGTGATCATGAAGCCCAAGAAAGTAAAATCTGTCACTGCCTCCATATCTTCCCCTTCTATTTGCCAGGACGTGATGGGACCAGTGGCCATGATCTTAGTTTTTTTGATGTTGCACTTCAGACCATTTTTTGCGCTCTCCTCTTTCACCCTCATTAAGAGGTTATTTAATTCCTCCTTATTTTCCTTAGTACTTCTTTATTGGTCACCCTCTCAATGCAATCAATTCTTAGTATCTTGTGATTACATTCACATTTCAAATGTTGGTTGTTGTTTTTAAACAGAAGATTGTTTTAAAGCCTGTGGTTCCATGCCAAACATCACTTTGCTACACAGATGTTTGCTGTGGGTTCAACATAATTACATAAAAATAGGATGACCAAATCCCTACCATTACTGTAGGACTTATGCAATTCATAAATGTAAATAGTTTCTTTAATCTCAAAACCTTCCTAAATCCCATATTTTTTTTTGTTCAGTTCATTATGCTTTATAGCAAGTAACTCCTTTTTATTTGGACTTGAGTCAGCTGCAGGTATTTGTCACCTCAAAGACTGTTAATCCACAATAACTGAATGCAAACCTATTGGAGGCTAAGACCAGTGTATGATATAGCAGTGGGTAAAAATTTTCATTTATTAATTACCAGACAGTATTTAATGAGTGAGCTAGTCTTTGTGGCACCTAGACTTTACGTACATTATCCCAAAGCATTTAAAAACAAACCAAGAACAACAGAAAACATATAGCCTGTTATCTCCTCTGTTCCCCCCCATCCACCCAAAGAACCAAAATTGCATGTTAGGAAGCATCCTGTGTGTGGGCAGCTCGTGCTGCTCTCCCGCATGTATTCAGACGTAGTGGAAATCCGGAGCTTTTTAAGTTGTCAACCCTATACACAGGGGCACAAGGAATTCTATTTTCACTCCTACCGCAGTGAGAGATTAGCAGCTTGAAATCACTTTGACAGTTTGTTACTGTATTGCATACCACAGGGAATTTTAATTCCAACCTGTGAAATTGTAATTGCTTCTCCAAAAGAACAGAGGAATTCTGGGTAATGGCTGAAACCAAGCTCAGTATCAGAGTTGCCCGGTTGCTGCCACTTTAGCTATTACTTGCTGTTATTCAGAAATCACTCCAGCTTTCCATATGGGAAGCGGAACTGGCGAGACTAAATTAACAGGAGCTGTCAGATGTTATGAAATTTTCAGACAGAAATGTGGCAAAGGTGGCTGAGCTCTCCCCAGAATGTACACACACACACACACACACACACACACACACACACACACACAGAGAGAGAGAGAGAGAGAGAGAGAGAGAGAGAGAGAGAGAGAGAGAATATTGTGAATTTTTTACACTGTTCATAAAGAAATGGAACTTACATGGCATGACTTTATGATTTTCAGCATCAAATGAAAAACCAAGACAGAAAATATCCTTAAATATATACACAAAACATCTAGATATAACTGGTGTTAAGATGTAATTGTTCATGTATTTCACAGCCCTTTTTTTAAGCCATTTTTATTCTACCCAGAGGTTTTCCTCTCTCTCTCTCTCTCTCTCTCTCAAATCACATCCAAGTTATTCATGTTTCCCAGATTTCTGGTTAATTAATTCTGTAGGATATAGATATGGGTCTGTCACTAAAACACTGCCAAAACTATATACTGTAAATACTATTTAAAATCCTTAGGCAGCCCAGTCTATGGTAACAATCCTTGCCTGGTGTTTGGACTAGAGTATTTGGGGAGGTGAGGCCCACAACTGTCATGGCTACTTTCTCTTAGAAAAAAGCTTTATTCAAGGACCTTTTTGTGTTCTCTGATCATTTTTGGTCACTCCCTCTTCAATTCCACATGTAGGACTATTCATCCAAGAGGCGAGTCCTCAGGGATGACAAATGACGCAGTCTGTGGTTACAATTCTCTGCACATTTGCCCATTGAATACAGTGGGACTCCTTTCTAAGTAAATGGGCATGCGGTTGAAGAGTAAATGTTTTTGAAGTCTACCAAATGTGTTGGATTGAGAGATCTGAAAAAACAGAACCCCCTACTTTTCACCAGTTCCAGAAGACAGAGTGAATTCTTGCTTCAATTTGGCAAGAGGCATCCTTGTGCCTGAAATTCACCCAAGAGAGCCTTCTGCTTCAACAAAACCCAAGATTGCTTCATTATCTAGGAAACTACATAATCTGGGTTGAACGTGATCTGAATACATTCTTGCTTTAGGAAGCACATATGGACTGACAATGTGTTGGTCCCTGAGGATGAAGGACACCACGTGGGAAAGGCAAAACATTCATATTTTAACTATTGGCTTGACTATTCCAAGCTGCCGTATATTTAGGGCACCCAATTCAACAGATATTTATTACTGTGTTTCACTATTGCTGTTGCATTTTGAGTCCGATCTACTTGGTTCCTATGTATCTGATTGAAATATATAGCACAATATGAAATATGCACAAACTAACCTGACAGCTCAGTAATTTTGAACTGAATGTGTAACTACAATAGTCAGATGGCATGTTTCAAGGTGCATTAAGGAAATAATAGTAGTTGAATAATAAGGATTCAAATAATAATAATAAAAAGGACTTAGCTGCCTTAAGAAAAAATATTTTAATAACTTAATCTCCTAAAAATGTTCATCCATGTAGAACTATTATAAAATGTATATATGTCACAGAGATATTCACAGTTTTTAAAAACTGAAAATTAATATGTAGAAGTCTTTATTAGAGACTGGTATCTTGAGCTTTAAAAAAAACTGAATAGCCTAGATCAGTATATCAGAACTGAATCCAGATTGTGGCTCTCAGGTAAGGCCTTGCAATATAAATTATTATCCAACATTTGACTATGAAGTTTTCAAATCACCAAATCATATTTCCTGATGCAATCATAGTTCAGTTCCACTTTCCCCCTTAAACACCTTCATAGTAAAAAGCAATAAGGACTGCCAGCAGAGCCACACTCAATGACAGCATCTTGACTGCACTTCTCCACCGTTGCCAAGGTAACCACATCCCCATCCTGCGGCTCAATGGTACATTTTGATTCTTAGCAGATGGACAGGCTTTTGATTCTGAGCTGTTCTCCAGTGCATGTCTGAACTCCTGTGGAGAAATACAGAAATTAAACTGAGAATAGATGCAAAGAACATTTGGCATGTATCAAGTACAAAGGAAATTTCCCTTCAGCTCAGAACAAGTCAATCTCTCCTTGCAACCCAGAATAAATTAAAGAACAAAATACAACTGTACAAAACAAAGAACCAATGCTTTTGCCACATGGAAACTGGCTTTTTCAGTAAAATTAACTGCCAAAGCAATAAAGCCGTTAACATCATTGTAGTTAAAACTCCACTGGCCATATTCAAGTTATGCTAATTAATTTCAGATCTGTATTTTCTTTTCAGTTTGTCTGTAAAAGATGAATAGGTAGTCAAGGACAGAGAAGACCAGGGGCTTGTCTTCCCTACCCATATAGCACCAGTAAGTCTAATCATTGTTTCTGTCCCACAGTATGCCAACTCAGCAGTGTTCTAACATCTTCTCTGTTCTTTTGCTGTCTCTCTCAGGAGGCAGTTGCACTAAAACACTCAGTTTATTGATCAGATTCTGAGCTAATTTTTCAATGTATGGAAAATGTGATGACTGCAGGTGTGTATCTGTTTCACTGCATGTAAATAAAGAGCTCTAGGAGGTATCTGAGCAGGAGATTTGTATGGCATTTGGCTTCATCCAGTGCTTTTCTCTGTGACTCCCAGTTCCTTCCTCCTGGCAGCATAATTTGTATTTCATTTTATTAGTTTCAGATTTAGTTCCAGGGGCAAAGTTTAGCACTTTCAATCTCTTAGGTGAACCTCAGGGGTGGCAGTTTTCAGTTCATTTTTGTCAGCGTTTCTTAGCGCAAATCGCGGTTTTAGCAGAGTGATTCGCAGTCCAGGCAGTCCAGAAATAACTCACGCACAGTCCAGCAGCATTTCCTTCAGCAACGTGTATTTACAGCATTCTGGCAGCATAACGTGTAGAAGTGATCTTCAAGCAGGAAGATACAATTGACTGTACAACTAACACATATACAGGACCAATCAGATCACACATTGCATAATCCTTGAGTTGCATCATCCCTGAGTTGCATCAGCTCTGCTGAGTCATCCTGACTCAGTTTTAACACACCTGATCATTATGGATTCTCATTAATACACTCCATTCTGCTCAGGCCTGTAATTTTCCTTGACACCCCTCCAAATTTAAGGTCTGAGCAGAACATATACCCAGCTTTTCAGTTATTTCCATGTGTTTCTGTATGTTCAGGAGTTTTGTCAGAATGTCAGCTATGTTTCTCTCTGATTCACAGTATTGTAACTCAATTTCTCCTTTATTGCTTCCTTGACATTATGATATTTTATGTCTATGTGCTTGCTTCTGCTTCGCATTTGATCAGTTGTCGCCATCTGGATGCATGTTGTATTGTCTTCATATACCATAATTGCCTCGTTTACTTCAATTTTCAAATCTTTGATTAATTGTTTATACCAAGTAATCTCTGAACACAGCTCAGACAAATCTGCAAATTCAGCTTCACTCGTTGAAGTTGCAATGGAACTCTGCTTTCTTGACTTCCATACCACTAGAACATCTGCAAACAATATTGCAAATCCTGAAATTGATTTTCTGACTGTTACGTCACCTGCTCAATCACTATCCACAAATGCTCACTGGTTCTTAACCTTTGTTACTCGGATGCTTTTGAACTGCAACTCCCAGAAACCCCAGTCAGGACAGCTGGTGGTGAAGGCTTCTGGGAGGTGCAGTCCAAAACTCCTGAGTAACCCAAGGTTAAGAACCAGTGGACCAGAGCATGCCAGGTCCTCCTGTCTTCCACTGCCTCCTGGAGTTGGTTCAAATTCATGTTGGTAGCTTTGGTGACACTGTCCAACCATCTCATCCTCAGTCGTCCCCTTCTCCTCTTGCCTTCACCACTTTCCCAACATCAGCGTCTTTTCCAGGGAGTCTTCTCATGAGATGGCCAAAGTATTGGAGCCTCAGCTTCAGGATCTGTCCTTCCAGTGAGCACTCAGGGTTGATTTCCTTCAAAATGGATAGGTTTGTTCTCTTTGCAGTCCAGGGGACTCTCAAGAGTCTCCTCCAGCACCACAATTCAAAAACATCAATTCTTTGGCGGTCAGTCTTCTTTATGGTCCAGCTTTCACTTCCATACACCACTACTGGAAAAACCATAGCTTTGACTATGCGGACCTTTGTCAGCAAGGTGATATCTCTACTTTTTAAGATGCTGTTGAGGTTGTCATAGCTTTCCTTCCAAGAAGCAGGCATCTTTCAATTTCGTGGCTGCTCTCACCATCTGCAGTGATCATGGAGCCCAAGAAAGTAAAATCTGTCACTGCCTCCATATCTTCCCCTTCTATTTGCCAGGAGGTGATGGGACCAACGGGCATGATCTTAGGTTTTTTTTTTTTTTGATGTTGAGCTTCAGACTATTTTTTGCGCTCTCCTCTTTCACTCACATTAAGCACTTTAAAAAAAGGTGCTAGTAGAGGATTTCTTTATTTCTTAAATATTTCTTTTTAAGATCAAGAGATATTTTAAAGAGAATTTGAGGCACAAATCTTTACAAATTTCCAACCGGTCCGTGATTCCAAAAATGTTGGGGACCACTGCTCTAAAGTACCATCAGCATCACCATGCATGGTGCTTTGCATAATATCTTAATGACATTAATGTATTTATATAACCCGGAAACGTATGTATATATAATGAATGCAATCATAATTAGATAATGACTATAATACATTTGAAAGTATTATGTGTATACACGTCCCTTTTCTTTTTTAGAAACAAGGTTAAACCTATAAAATATACACAGTCATCTATGCAGGAGTAGATTCTCTGCAAATGGGCATTATTTCTAAGCAGATATCCTGATCCGTTAGGACATTTTAAGATATGTCTTTTCCTTGGCTTGTTTCTTTTGCTCTTTATTTTAAATTTAGCCTATATGGGATTCCCAGCGTGGTGCAGTGGATACAGTGATGGCCTAAGACTCTGGAGAACACGGTTTGAATTCCCATTTTTACCATGGAAACTCACTGGGGGAATTTCTCATTTACCTTGGAAGCCCTACTATGGTGACTATAAGTCAGTTCCAACTTGACCGCACATAACACACAGAACATACTTTACAACTGTGGAACTTTTTGTTACTTTTGCTGCTACAGGCTAACATGCAAAGAACCAATAGTCTGGATTCAACCATTCATTATTATTTATTTCACTACCCTGCCTGTGTTTCAACTTCTGATGAGTAGCAGCAGAACTTGGGAAACAAAGCGTACGACAAACCCGAGCAAGGGAGTTACTGTTGTTTTCTTTCCTACAGCACTGTTGAGGAACATGCCTGGCTCACTGAATGATTCTTTTTGTCCTAGTTTTGCCATGTCCTTTAATTTTGGAAATTCTAGGCTCCTCTTAGCTGGCATCAGACTTGCTGAACTAGGCCATGGCAATATCTGCTTGTCTCAAACTCGGGACCATAGTCCACACAAATGACATTTATTTAAAATGCTGCTCAACTATGCTGCTTAGAAGAATTTGACAAGAAAACCAAGAATGATAGTCAGTGGCAGTGAAAGTGATGGGAGGGGGAGTCAACAGAGTCTTGACAGCTTTCCTTGTAAATATCCAAGATGGCAGAAGCCTATGATCCTTGCATTAATGACTAGTACTAGGAACTTGTGGGATCACCAAAGGAATGACCCAGAAGGGTAGAGAAAGAGAAATACAACAATCAGACTAGATTTCACTACCAAATATTACATAAATAGCTATTCCATGCAGTGACAGGCAGAGTAATTAAAATCAATTGCCTAATGAATCTGAAAAATTAATAACTGGTTACAACTATTTCATTCCTGGAGTCAAACCTAATTAACCTTTATATGGAGAAATAAACTGGAAACCACAGAGTACCAATTATTAAACATTTACTAATTTGCAACTAAAGCTACCTCATAATAGACTTCATCTTGTAGACTGATTAAACTTGGAAGAAAGGCTTGCGCAGAATACTATTCACTTGAGGCATCTAATTATTTCCTTGGATGCCTATTAGGTTTCGTTAAAAATCCCATTACAAGTTTACCATACACCCTACATTCAAGTAATACTTTTTCTTAAGTGATAAACTCTTACAATAATTGTATAAAGCAAATTTAGGCTAATGCCTGATGTGACAAATATTAGTAAAACCAGTGATAGCCCCATAATAGGAGTTACAAGAGCAATGACACATAATGGGTGGCAATGGTCACAGTTTGCTGATCAATTCTCCTCCAGGAGAGGCAGCCAAGGCAAAACGCTTCAATGTGAACAGAGGGCCAACATTTAAGACTATAACCTTACGCACAGTTAGTTAAGACCCACTGAATCGTTGGACTTACTTCTGAATAGATACGTGCTGGGTTGAATGGTTAGCCTCTCATTTGGGGACCTAATGTTGCCAAGCCATTCTTGAGTCTTTGTAATATGAACTGTCTGCTGGGGAAATTATCAATATGTCTTTTTGGAAAATGATGTTGCTTAGGACATTCTCTATACCCATGGTTGTAAGTCAATTATAATTCACGACCAGGGAAAATCTTTTGATCTATGACTGAACTGGGATAAATGTAAAGTTCTCCAAAGTCCCTACTAACTGGTAACTGATGATCTAGAACTAAGACAAACTGAGGTGTGGAGGAAAACAAGGCTTTTCCAGATATAATGACAATTGATGACAATACAGTGTTATCAAAGTAGATTATTATGATTATGATCCGTCTTGGGTACCTATAAGTAAAAGCAGGGTATTTTAATCAGCATCAGCATCTGAAATAAAACTTAGATTAGGCAATAGGTCTTGCTCTTGGATTGAGCACCCCACCCAATTAGATCTAATTAAATTACTTTTTGAGGTCAGATATCCAATTAAGGGCTATGACAAGCTTGGAGAAGGCTGTGATAACTAATGAGAAGCAGATCCTGTGTTAAATGTATAAAATCCTGCAAGAGGGAAAGAATGAAAGAGAAAAAGTGAATACACTAAAATGGGC